TTCCGTCGCCTTGCTCATCTCCGATGAGCTCGCACCGTCGCGGTAGTGTCTTCACCGTCGCGACATAGCGCTAGATAGCTTCGCCTACTCCTTGCGCATCCAGCCAGCTAGCTCTGGTCGATTGATTTCGTCGTGAGTTCGCCGTTCGTCGCTTTCTTCCTCGCGGCCGGCCACCTCACCCGAGATTTCATTTCTCCGCGGCCAGCATCCTCCGGTGAGCCGTTGCCCATGATCAGTGTACCACGGCTTAGTCTCGATGCTGTGGTGCTTAATCCTATGTTGCTTGCTTGTTTTGATCACTGCAGTCGCCGGTTCTTCCTCACCGACGATCTTTGCTCCGCCGTGATCACCGTGGTCGTCGTCACGCCTCTCCGTTGTTTCTCCGACCTCGCTCCTTGCTTCAACGCGTTCGGGGTGAGCTACTAGTGCTTCCTGGATCCTTTGTTTAAGCTCTATTGGTTTCATGTCGCCAGCGTAGAGCTGTCGTGCCAGCGTGTCCGCCATGGCCGACGTCAGCCTTGAATCGTGCTGTGATTGAGTTAGCTAGTGTCTCCAATCGATGCGCCATGTTGTTGTGAGTGTTTTGGTACTTTGGCCGTCGCCGTTGGACTCACCGTCGGCGAGTTAGCGCCGGTCAGCGCCGTCGCGGTCAATGTCGGAGGTTGGGGATGACAGGTGGGACCCGATGTCAGTGACACAGCGTTCAAATTGGATTTTTCTATTTTCAGAATTGAATGAATAGTATCTATTTTTGTTATTTTTGTGTAGATTTATTTAAAGCTCCAAAAATTATAAAAATTTTTGTGTGAACTCTCTGTGATGTATATTATTTAGGAAAAATATGAAATATTGTTTTCAGTACTTTTTGAATGTGATAAAAATTGGTCAATTAATTAATAAATGAGTTTCCATGATTTTTTTAGGCTTAATTATGTATCCAAAAATTATGAAAATTATTTTGTCACTTAGTTATCATGTGATGAACATTTACAAAAATTTTGAGGCCAATTGGAACAAGTTGATTTATTTCATAATTCTTAATTAATTAATTAATTAATTAAAGCAAATAGTAACCTTTAGTGATTTAGGTTTTGTTTGAGTTTTTGATTGAGTGATGTCCTTGGGGCATTAGTTGGTGATGATCCTTCGCAATTGATGTGAGTGTTGCGAAAATGGTTTAGTTAGTTTAACTTGTAACTGTACCGCGAAGGAAAGTTGTATTCAAGTTGTTAATTTTGCATCCATCATCGAGCATCATATTTCGTATTCCGCATCATGTTAAACATGGCATTGTTACTACGTGTAGTGAACGAAGGTGAACACGTGGTAGTTAATCAAGTAGTTGAGGAGGTTGATCCGTCTGTGGAGGTTGGTGTTGATATCGGTGGAACGACTCCGGACCCAGACTTTTCCGTCAACGAAGGCAAGCCCCGGATGCATACAACCCTACCTTGTATTTTACAAATTGATTTCGCTTTTGCTTCTTTTTAATGCATTCAGTGATTAGAAGTCAAGTGAAAACCGAATTGGTACATTACCAACCTTGTTATTCCATATTTACCATGTTACCAGTTTTAAATTCGTATATACCTAGTTTTGCTTAGCTATGCTTAGAACGATAAAAGTTGAGTGATTACCTATCACCTGCAAGTTTTAAATGGAACTTTGGTTACTTATGTTATCATGTGTATATGGGAATGTGGAGTAATAAATCTAGACCGGGCGAACTCGGTGTATGGGAGCTGCAAGACATGGAGGTCTTGTAAGCGGGTTCTTTCCGCCTGTGTCGATTAAGGTCCGTACCGTTGTTGAATTGCATGAGGTGAGACTTTGTAGTACTAACCACATACTCTGGTAAGCCTTAACTTGGTTATTCTATTACGAGAATGGCTACTCGCGCACTGGGAGTGGAGAGATGGCGGGAATAGCATGTACCCACGTGGCAATGGGCTGGAGTGTGGAGTACTGTATTCTCGGGTGGCGCGGACCCGTTCTTGTTTTAGAAGATCCGAGGATAGGTTGATATATGTAAGTCGGGGACCTGCATATGTCGTGTGGTCTAGAATTCCCAGCTGGGTTTTTAATCGGTTCGAATCGTCGTTGCTCCTCGGTTATGGAGACTCAACTCACTGTTCATCATCGTAGTAATTAATAACTAGAATTTGAGGATGGTATGTGAAGGTGTTGGTTATGAAGTTTCATGATCTCATTGCGGATCGTGTGAGCTTTGTATATGAGTTTATGAAGTTTTAAATGTTGATGTAAAGAATTTTATTAAAAAGCTTTTACGCAAAAGAACTTTGATTATTACTAAAGACATACCTTGAATCCCCGAGCCTGCATTCATAAGTGATATCAGTTTTTATTTCGGTTAAGTCTTGTTGAGTACTTTTGTACTCAGGGTTCTTTGACCCTTGTTGCAGGTGAGGCTCATGAGCAAATCTGTTTTGGATCATGCTGCATGACTGTTGTTCAGTGCGATGACGATAAGTAAATGTGTGGCCCTTGGGCATGGCAGCTTATTTGTGTGTTTTGTAATATATTATAATGCCACTCCACTACTTTGTTTTATATTATTAACTGAACTTAGTTGAATGGTTTGAAACAAATGGTTTGTAAACTATGTTATTGTAAGACTTCCGTTGTTTTTACTCTGGTGTATCTATTTGAATAAACTGTTGTAATACTGTAATAACTCTGTAATGTGATCCTGCTCGGAAACCGTGGATGATTCGGGGTTTCCAAGGACACCCGACAGTCTTCTTAAGTTATCAGGAATGTATGCATAGATGTCAAAGGTCGTTGGACAGTGACAGATGCATGTGGGCCCTATAATTTAGGAGGTTCTGCCACAAGAAAGAAGGAGAATGAAGAAAGGAGAGGGAGGAAGAAAAGGGAGAATATGTGCTTCCTTCCCACAGGTCCCTGGCTCCGCCATGTGCATAGGACTCACAACTTGTGATCACGCTTGTGTGAACTAATATCCACCAGCACCAACAGAAGCATTCTCCTCTGTATTTTTTTCTATTGATTGCACAAATACAAAAAAAACATAGTTGAGTACATAGCACTCCACGTGTGTATACCTTCTTGCTTCGCTAGTGCTCCTTGACACCTCTATTTCCATACTTGCCTAGATGATTGGTCCAGATGTGACCAAGAAGGCCCATGCTCTAGATCATTGGCCCGCATTACACTTTAATGGGTGCACTCGTCTTGGGTTCATTGTGCCACTGTCCTCCATTCATCTTGCGCTCGCGGCCTTCTTTCCATCCCCACCAGTCCACCACTGGTGCTATCGGTTAGGGATGAAAACAGATCGGATAAGGATGGATATCACTGATATTACATTTGTTTTCATATTTCTCTTTTGGATTCAGATTCGAATGTGGATAGTATCAAACATGTCGGATATGATAAGATTGGATATCGACATCATAAATATACGATTTGAGTATTCGGATACAGATATGGTATCGGATGTTGAATATCCAGACTTGGATACGGACAGATCCGAACCTCTCTAAACAGATTTAGTCTCAAATACAGTCGAAAAATATCCATACCTCACTGGCGCTTTTCTCTCCTTGAGGATGCTTACCCTGGCTGGCGGGCTCTATACAAAAATCATCTTGGCCCACTAGGCCTCTTCAATTAGCTCGGGCCGGAGGTGGGCCTCTCGCGTGTGCATTAAAGGAATCGGCCTGCCCGTCCAAACGCCACGGCAAAGGCTGCTCCGGCTCGTGGCTTGGCTGGCTGTTGCTGTTTTTTTTTTCTTTTTTTCTTTTCTCCTTGGGATGAGACATGGCATGAAGCTCGGTCAAGATTCAAGAACAGGAACAGGAACACCCGTTCTGTACGGGTTCCACTCCACTGACGCCGACATCGTTGACTGCCTTCCCGCATCACCATTAGCGTCACCTCTTGATTCATTCCAATCAAGAGGTGTCACACGAGGATGAGGGGAGATCGACGCTGGAGGTCGTGCCGCTGCCGTGTGGCCGGCGGTTCTCAGGTTCAGGACACGGGCGCATGGACGGAGTCAGCGTTGTTCAGACGCAGAGGCACCGCGGCAGTCAGCAGTGGCCTTTCTTTAAAGGCAGCCGGAATGGAAGACGCGCAGAGGCTGAGAGGCAGCAGGAACAGAGCCCCACAGAGGGGCGGGCGGGTGATGAGTGATGAGTGATGACCGCCGCTGATCCGCCGTTCCGACAGCATCCACTGTCCCGGCTTAATTATCCACTTGCGCAGTCAGATCGCTCACTGATCAGGCCTCAGGGTGACAGCACAGTTACTGCTGCCGCCAGTGTGTCAATGGGCTTGTTCGCTGGTTGGTGCTGGTGCTGGTTTGGGCTGGCTGGTGCTAGTTTTCTGTGAGAGTAAAACACTGTTAGCTGGCTGGTTTGGGCTGGTTGAAACCAACAAGCGAACAGGCTGAATGTGATCCGTGTGTCTTGGCAGGGAGGAACTCGGATGTTCAGCTCATCCATCGCGCGCACTTTTACCGCCAAGAGACGCAGATCGAGACGACGAACACCACGCCCATCATCATCACCATCACCATGGGTTGGATGGATTTGGAGGACGCAAGCAGGGTGTAGGAGCACAGCCTGGGTACACGAATGAGTAGAGTACATGCATCATGTATGATGAGCAGCCCATCCATAGCTCCATACTCACAGTTGGGCCCTTTGATAGCTCTCCCCTGTCTGTGTCTATTCCTGCCTGGATCATTAGCATTTTTATTAGGTGCGAGTGGTTGGCAACACTGCCCGGCTGCCCAACACGACGTTGTTCGTTCCAAACTGATCAAAGGCGGAACATTCAGAGTTCAAACTCTTGATGGCCGGCTTCTGTTCAGTTCAGGGGACGGCGTTTTCCTGCTCATGGAACATCACAGCCCCGTATCTTGCGTGAAACAAACGTTCCTCGAGTTGCTCTCTACAAGCAAGCTACAGCAGGCACGGTACAAAAAAAATGTCCGCTCGTCAGTTCGGACTTCAGAACCCGAGCCTGCCGCTTTGCATTTGCACGACATAGCAGCAACGGCACCAGCTTCCATATTCTGCCCAGCCGGCGCGGTGCCGGCCATGTGAGCGAACGCCGCCGGCAGCAGAGGCCATCCCCTGCCCCGGCAAGCCGAACATGGTCCCCGGTGGCGGCATTGCCATCGGCGGGCACGGGAAGTGCGCGCCGGCCGCGACGCGCGGGAGCATGTCGAACCCCGCAGCGGCGGTGGCGCCCATGCCCATGCCGAAGCCCAGCCCCATGCCGAGGTGGGGGTAGTGCGCGTGCGCGTGCGCCATGGGGTGGTGGTGCAGCGCCTGCATGTTCTGGTGCATCGCCGGCAGCAGCATCGCCGGCGGCATGCACAGCCCGGTGCCCATCGACATCATCTGCACCTGCACCTGCAGCGTCTTGAGGTACTCGATCGCCTCCTCCAGCATCGACGCCTTGTCGATCTGCATGCGAGAGAAGCCAGATGATGCTTTCCGTCAGCAGTTCGGCACATCGACGACGACGACGACGAAGCAGCTCCATCGAGTAGAGCAGACAGACCTTGTTGCAGTTGGGGATGAGCTCCTGCAGGGCGCGCATCTTCTCGTTGATCCGGTCCCGTCTCCTCTGCAACGCAGGCACACAGCAAGGTCGGTCAGTGAGATGTCAGGCAAGGCATGCATCGAGGGGACGGAGCGGCGCTTACCCTCTCCGACAGGTTGTGCACCTCGGCGGTGCGGCTGCGCTTGGCGCTCCGCGCCGCCGACCTCCTCGTCGCGCCGGGCTCATCGTCCAGGTCCTGCAGAGCAGAGAGGCGGGCGTTCAAATCAGGCAGGATTCAGGGAGTCGCGTGGAGATTGGATTGGATCAATGGGGGCACTGCAGTGGCGAGTGTGGTCGGGCATGAGCAGGCTACCTCGTCCGGACTGACCGAGCAGTCCGCGGCCAGGTGGCTGCTCCTCTTGAGCTGGCTCCGGTCACCGTTGCCGGAGCAGACCGAAGAGGTCGTCACCGCCGCCGCGTCGGGAGGTCTTGCCTCTGGTTGCGACCGGGGTTGAGCTACTGTCTCTCCATGGCGGCTATCTGGGAGCAGAGGCGCCAGCGGAGGAGGAGGAGGTGGTGGTGGAGGTGGCGCCGCCGCTGCCGCCGTGGTGCGCGCCGCCTTGGGCGGCTGCAGCCACGCCATCCTCTGCTCGGAGAACAGCGGCGTGCTCCGCAGCCGGTTCGTTGCCGCCTGGACGACCGTGGACTCGACGGGGTGGCTCGCGGTTGCGTCGGCCGACGCCACCGCCTGCGGCCGCTGGAGGGGCCGCGAGAAGAAGGTGAAGTTCACGACGCCCTCCCCACCTCCGTCGGCGGCGGCGCTCGGCGGGGCCAGCTTGTTGGCCGCAGCGGCCTCGGGCGGCGGCGCGGCCGGGACGACGGCCGCGGCGTGGGAGGCCGCCGCTGGCGCGTCCGCCTCCGAGTACTCGGACAGCAGGCTGGCGCAGTACTCCGGGGGCAGCGGCGCCGTGTCGCCGTCGCCGTCGTCGACGACGGGGCAATGCAGCCACGGCACGGCGTCGTCGTCGTCCTGGACGGAGAGGCCGCCGAGCCCGAGCCCGAGCCCGGCGCCGGCGCCGTGCATGCCCAGCGGGACGGGAACGACGGGGGTCACGAATGCCGCCGCCTTGGTGGCGTCCGCCGCGTGGCGCTTCAGCTCCTGGGACCTGCTGCTGCCGGCGGCGCTGCAGGTGAAGGGCTGGAACGGCGGCGGCGCCCTCCGCAGCGCCGGGCCGTGGTCCCACAGTAGCTCGGCCAGCTCGTCGCCCGGCCCGGTCCTACAGACGGAAATCGAAACGGGCATCAGAATCCGGAGCTAGCCTCTGGATGGAATCATGCAAAAACGAGAAATGGTGAGGGCAGGGACTGACATCAGAGGGGCGGCGGGGCGGTTGGCGCGGCGACAGGTGGAGGAGGATGGAGCACACACGCGGACGGGCAGAGCAGAGAGGATAGGAGTGGGAGCAGCAGGGAGATGGAGGAAGGAGAAGAGATGCGGTGCGGGCAGGAGCAGTTAAGGAAGGCGACGCGGCACCTACCGCCGTAGCAGCAGGAGCCGAGGACGAGGAGGCGTCGCCGTTCCGGACGGGCTGGTGATGGGTTTCCAAGAAGGGGAGGGGACGGGAGGTGGGGGTGCGGCGGCAACGGCGACGCATCCGCACAAAACGCTTGTTTCCAACTTGCAAACAGCCGCTCATTGGCAGACGCTTGTGGATAATTAACTTTTACTAGATAAAACTCGTCATTCACTTATGAAACATACTACGTGGGTTTTAGCTTGAGTTAAGTTTTTATAGTAAAAAAAGCAACTATTGGACGCTTTTAATGCAAAAATGCTCCAGATTAACCATCTCCTTTCTACGTAACAAACATCACTACAAAATGTTAATACCCAATTAGTCAACTATAAGACTAAGGGCCTGTTCGGTTCAACTGCGATACGCGAAAAAGTTCCTATCAGTTATATGTTGTGAAAAAGTTGGAAGCTATTCGGCAATGCTCTGTCCGGGTGTCCGACGCTTCAGCTTTCACAACACGACCATGAATCCAGAATCTAATATTTCCTTAAGCTTTTTGGTGGCTAGAGCACTTAGAATAGAGCCTAAACTTTTCTACAACTTCAGCACACTCTAAGATACTTCAAATGGTTGACCATTGGGGGGGATATATAGGCTCCACACCAAATATAGTCGTTGTTAGCAAACTACGTACACTCATGAAGTGAGCACCGGAAGGTCCGGTGCTACCATTGGAAATCCAGTGATGCCATGTGGACTAGTCATTGTGACTACCGTTTGTCGACCGTTGTAAGCCTTTTCTCTAACGCTTCTTCTTCGATGATAACCGAAGAAATTCAGTGCCTTTTAGAGCCTTCTATATAACTATTTTAGCCATAGCCTTTTCTTCGGTGCCCTCCCTTAGGAACCACCATAGTTTTTCGGGTGCTTGGAGAACTCTTTTGCAGAACTGTTGCACGATGTTCGCCTTGGAGCATAAGCTCCGGTGTTGGCCAGTTAGCACTGCTGGAGTTTTCTGGTGAGTCTGAAAAGGCCCTAAGCTCTGGTTCCCTGTGGAGCCTATCAACAGAGAAATCTAGAGGTACTGTGTAGGCCCATGTTGCATTTCATCACGTCTTCTCGTCTGGGCTTCGATCACTTGATGTCTTCGACTTCTTGCATGCATTTTAAATCTTCAACATCAGCTCTAATGTCTTGTTTGAGGTGTTGATCACTTGATCTTCACGTTGCCTTTTGTCTAAGTCATCCTTGTATCCAATTAAACTAAATATCTTGTATACTAGCAAATCACATTAGTCGAATTGATCATGTCATCGTACGGTCACCAAAATCAAACATGACCCTAGCTATGTGCCATTTTCCTTACAGAGAGAGGAGTAATGGACACAATGGGGGATGGGACCATCGATCAACACCCCCTCCACGTGCGCCAATTGGAGGTTGACATGTGAGTGAATGTGCCCCACCTATTGGCCACTCGGAGGAAGCACAAAGCTGAGGCTGTTGTAGGCCATTTTAATTTTCATCGATGGTTTGCATGACGAACCATTGGTGAAAATGATCATCAACTATTTTTATATTATAAAACAGGATGTGAAAATACTATTAGCAAAAATAGGTTTTGTAGTAGTGGACGAGATGATGAATAATACTTGTAAGGCTGCAACCTAAGTCTTTCCATGCACATATACAGCGTGGTAAACTCGCAATACTAAAAAAATATTTTTCTTAAAAAAGTAATTTTGAGAGGTGTATCCTTTTTTACCAGAGATGTCCTGCCTCGATCTAAAGGCTAGTTGTGTTTCTGTCCATCCCTAGAAATGCACTCTATTTTCTGAGTGGTTGGTAACACAAAACACCTATACAAATAGAATCATTTCTTGAGGACCTTGAAAAACAAACCACCTCAAAATTAACCTAAGTCTTTGCATGCATGTATATAGTGTGGTAACACACGAGCTACTACAAAAAAAAAATGATTTCAGAGATGCCTCTTTTTTCAAACACAGTCTGCCTCTTTAAATAGATTTTTAAAGGAGATTGGTATTTTTTGCGGACACTAGAAATCCCTCTACTTTTCAAATTGTTGGTAAACCAAACTGCCAAACACATCTAGAGATACATACATTTCTAGAGGCCTTTGAAAAAACATCTCTAGGAATCAATTTCTAGATGCGGTAGTCATATGACCCACCCTTAAAAATAGACAAAGCAAAAAAAGTATTAACTTTTTGAAATGGAGTTGGACCAAGATGAAGAGCTTAATTGAAGAGATACGTAACTTTATAGTTAGCGATTTTTTCATTTGAAATCATATCTTTTAGGATTCCTAAACTATGTCTTAAATTTTTTAGATTTTGGCTGCCTCTAAAAATGGCATGGAACATAGTAGGGGCGTGCTACGCGTGATCGTAGGAAACAACTAAAAATTAAGGACAACACTGCTGCTGCAGTGGCAGTGCTGTTAGGTCTACAGCCTACTACGCGACGACCAACTTTTGTTCGTGAAAGTTCCACAGAAATTTCGCACCTGACCGTATCTGGCTATCGTGGTTGCTTGACGGTACATATCTGATCCCACTCGTCGGCACCTGGTGGCACAAGGGTATGGTAGGACGTCGTCTGGACTCTGGAGCACATCAGCACAAAGATGCTATAGCGGATCGGCACAAGGAAAGACTAGCTAGCTGCTATGCTTCCCTCACATGCAATGCTTGTAGGATGCCACTGCTACACTGCTAATGGTTGATGTGGATTATTGAAAGATAAAGCATAGTATATTGCATTGGAGGCTTGCTTCCACCCACTCGTTAAAACGCACGATGTGAATTGTTATTTCCGTGTCTCCAATCCTTGGAGCAGCGCCCTGTCTTCCGAGTTATTGATTGTATCCTTAATTTATTTCGTTTGTTACACTTTTCTTATCATATATATTATAAGGGCATCTATATCTATCTATCTATATCTATATAATATATATCTATAGAAGAATATAATTTTGAGGGGTCACGTCGCGGCACTGTTCACCCGACGCGCCCACCTCACATATCCCTGTAGATAAACAGTAAGTATCGGACCCGCTAAAGAACAGTACCACCCTTTTTCCTTCTTTTTTTCCTCACAGCGTCCATGTTTTTTTTCCCGTTCACTGTTTCCCGTGCTTCGCGCGGGGTTACTGCTAGTATATATCTATAAAAGACTATAAGTTTGAGGTAGTACCACCGTTATTTTTTTTGCTCCTCACCATTTTCCCCCCTCTCCTCTCCTTCCCACGCGAAGCGTGGGGGCGCACGCTAGTGTATATATATATATATATATATATATATATGCGTTTTGCTGTTCATCCGGGGTATCATACCTGCTATGAACAGTACCGGATCCGCTATAAAAAAGTACCCACCCAGTAAGGAACAGTACCACCCGATAAGAATCTTCCCCCCCCCCTTATTTTTCCCGCCCTCCTTCCCACGCGAAGCGTGGCACCCACGCTAGTACATAATATATATGGACCAAGAAGAGTTCATATCGACGGAATCCGCAAAAGGAGTCCATAATGCGAGTCTAAAAGTATCTCGATCCTGTTGTGAAGATTATAGGGTCTCGGTGATCGATTAACACAAATAATTATTAGTACATAATATATATGGACCAAGAAGAGTTCATATCGACGGAATCCGCAAAAGGAGTCCATAATGCGAGTCTAAAAGTATCTCGATTCTGTTGTGAAGATTATAGGGTCTCAGTGATCGATTAACACAAATAATTATAAGTAACGTGTGTTCTATAGGGATAATAAATGTATTTGACTTAGTCACAATATGAATGGCCACATGTCTTAGCCCCAAGACTTGTTATATGCATAGATGGCCATATAAGTCCCACAGACCGTTGGCACGGCCCATGTCCCGTTGTTTTGGCTCAGCCCATGCACGGCACGGCATGACACGATGGCGGCCATCGGGCCCGTGCCGACCCGACCCGATTCTAGGGCCATACATGGGCTTCTGTCTCGACACGGTGCGCCGGCCCCATCAAAACCCTAGACCCAAACCAGTCCGACTCCTAGCTGCCATCGCATGCCTCCTCCTTTCCTCTAAGACTTCCGCTCCGCAACTCTGATTCGACTCTCATAGCCGCCACCGCCCGACTCCTCTCTGACTCCTGGTACCGCTGCTTGCCCCTCCTCTTCTCCTCACAGTTGCTCGCGCGCCCCTCCTTTCGCAGCTATGCTCCAAGGCTGGCGCCTCCCTCCATCCCTTCCCCATAGCTCGTCGTGACTTCCTCCCAAGGGCGTGTGTGGCGTCGGTTAGCGCGGGATGGTGATGTAGGGCTTCGTCACAAGGCAACGTCCTGGCGACATAGGGGCAGCGACGTGCGGCTTCTTCCCCGTGAGATGTTGGTGCACAGGGACAAGGGCGCATCGGGCCCAGCAGGCTGTCGGGCCATCCCAGCATGGCTCAACCCTTATAAGGTCGTGCCTGGGCCGTAGGCCGGCACGACATGACATGATGAGATGATAGGGTCGTGCCGACCTGACCCCAATCAGGTCGTGCCTTGGCGGGCCCGTGCCGGGTCGGGCCGCCCATTTGGCCATCTATATAGCTGTATGGAAGTGTATGGCGTAAAGGATATTTGTGAAGATTAAGTTCGCTCTAGTAGCGAATGTAGGTTGCAGTTGTGGCGACATTCGCTTAGTAGTGCGTAATAGGTCTTTGTTTCTCTTTGGCCGTACTATCAAATGAGGTCTAAGGCTACTTGAAAGAGTCGAAGCGAGAGCATTTTGATG